TGAGTTGCCATCCCTGAGGTCATGAGTGAGGTCTATCAGCTTTGTCCTATCCTGCTAAGCTCCCCAAATTGGCTCAGAGTGTTGCTGGCTGAGCTCAAATCCTGTTGTAGGTGACACCCATTTTCCACACACCAAGCCCTGATCCAGCTTGAGCATCAGCCATATCCTGCAGATTTTCCCAGGACACACAGGATTGGATGGGAAGAGGAGTGAGTCTCTACTACTTACACCTAGTGAAAAGGAAACCTCATGGTCAGGGCAAGGAGGAGCCTTCCCACCTTGAGCCTAGGTGCCAGCTGTCAACTCTGCTTACAGTTCCTGCATGCTGTGCTCTCTAACCCCTATGTCTCTGCCCAGAACATCAAGTATTCTGCATCTGATGTTCTTCTGGTAAAATGCTCTTCTTAGAACTCAGGAAGGGTTCCCTGAACCCTCTAATCAGATGGAACTACTCAGTACCATTCAGAGGTAAGCTGGAGTTGACCTGTAACTTTGTATAAAAGCTGATTGTTGTGGCTGTGCCAGGAGAGCGTCGGGCCAGGTGATAGGCCCACGCGGGGCCATGAATGGGACCGTGAACCCACTGCTGGACCAGCACTGCCTGCGGCTCGGGGAGAGCTTCGAGAAGCAGCCGTGAGTTTCCCTTCACACCATTTGCTATGATTTTAAGCCAGCATCTATAGACACTTTCTGTGAAGGAGAGCTTCAGGTTGGCAAAAGAGATGATGTCACAATTACACTGCCACATATCCCTGGATCCACACCACCAATGACTGTGTTCAAAGGGAATAAGCGGCCTTATCAGAAAGACTGTGTGCTCATTATTAATCATGACACTGGTGAATATGTGCTGGAAAAACTCAGTAGCAGCATTCAGGTCAAGAAAACAAGAGCTGAGGGAAGCAGTAAAATCCAGGCCCAAATGGAACAGCAGCGTACTTGTCCCCCACAAACATCACAGTCCCCACTTCTCCCTTCTCCACCACCTATGCCATTCAGAGCCCCACCAAAGCCTCCAGTAGGACCTAAAACTTCTCCACTGGAAGATAATCCCTCACCTGAACCTCAGCTGGATGACATCAAAAGAGAGCTGAGGGCTGAAGTTGACATCATTGAGCAGCTGAGCAGCAGTGGAAGCAGCTCCTCAGGCAGTGATGAAGATAGCTCCAGCAGTGGCGTTGAGGACAATGCCCCAGCCTCCCCTCCACAGCCCTCCCACAAGCAGTCCTACAGCAGCAGGTTGCCCATGGCCAACGGAACCAGCCGGCAACAAGGAAGCAACCAGCTCATGAACACCCCTCAGAAACAACGTGCAGTTGAGTTAATCTGGCAGTGGCAGCAATGACTAGAGCTGGATCCTTCGAAATCTACTTTTAGTTGTACAAATACGCTGCAAACCTGGGCTGCTTTCGCATGGAGTCCATTGCCAAGAGGAAAACACTATGGAGCAGTGACCGTAGTAAACCTTTGAGGCTCTGGAGCTCTCAGACACTCAGTGCTTAATTTAGAGGCCACGGGTGATTTTCTCATGTACTTTTTCAACAGTCTCATCCAAGTTTAAGTAGATCTGTAGAAGAACTAGCAGAATTATATTCTGATTTGGTTAACATTGTTAATGAAAACCACAGACAAACGTTACTCCAAGGCCCTGTCTTCACCAGGCCAGAAACTCTGTTTTCAATCTTAGCAGCCACCGTGGTCTGCTCCGGGGAAATGAAACAGTCCTTGATATTAAGGGGAGGGAGAGAAACCTCAAGTTGCAGCAGAGAAGTATTTTTAAACCACTTTAAATTGTTGCCACAAAGTGGTAAGGAAGGTTTGCCTGAGCCTTCCTGACAATCCTGTGTTGAACTGGACTTCAAGACTGAGTCCCAGAGTTTCAGCTGGCCAGAACCCTACAGCCCTGCTAGTCCCACCCCCTCATTTACAATCAGGAAAGGGAAGCATGCAGCTGGTTTCTGGCAGATCTGGCTTTCCCCATTACTCCCTAGAATTTCATACACTGGAACCTCAGTTTCTTCTACATGGGACTTTGAGTCCCAAAAGGCAAAAGTATTGGGTGCTTCCAGATGAAATGTAGATCTAGACAGTCCCTAAACGTCTGAGGCCCTCAGACGGAGGGCGCAAATCAGACCAGCGGCTATTAGGTTGACGTCTGTGACTTGATTAAATTGCAGCGTTCTTTCCATATAGTTCCATACTAAGTGTCCTTCATTCATTGGATTTTAGGGAGGGGAGCTGTAGTGAGGGTAAGAGAAGTGAAGAATCCTCTCTGAATAAATGAACCAGCAGTAAATTTCCAGACACTAGAATCTACATAGAAGTTGTGCAGTATGAAATGAACACATTCTTTGATAAGCTGTTTCTGTTCATGCTTTTGTTCCTGACCCCCAGACAAATTTGTATTTTTATAGACAACTAGAAGTCACAAGATCCATCTTTTGCAATGTGCTGTTTCTGAATGAACCTGTTGCTGCCGGAATCTGGTCAGTAGTAAATGTTCCATATTGAGTGCATGTGTGATAAATCATCATCCCATAATTAGTTTGGAGTAGTCTGTTTCTTTAGTCTGAATGATCATGTCTTGAAATGTTTCCGTCTACTTTGGTTCAGTGGACATCAAGACATTAAAAACTATTTTATTTCATTGTGTCCCTCCACCTGATGGCTCCTTTTTTCCAAGCTGTTGAGGGAAGCATTCTGGGCTGAGGAAGGAAATCGATGGTGTGTGTGGGGGGTGGGGTGGGGTGGGGGTGGGGGTGGTAGGGTGGCTTTGGTTAGAATTGCACCGTAGAGCGTTGATTCTCCTTGACTCTGCTTCATCCACATAGCGAGGGCCCAAGTGGAGGTCAGAAGTACCTCCCTGTGGTGGGTTCTCAGCTCAACATGGGGTGTTAGTGAAGTTAATGGTAGGAACTTATTTATGATGAACTGATAATTGATTTATGACTTCTTGGTAAGGATGATAGCTCAGGGAAGGTGAAGGTTGTGATTGGGAGACTTGAATTGTTACTGGATGTGGGATTTGTTTCACTGCTCTTGCCCACGCTTAAGGCAGGTGCTAGGAACTTGAACTGAAAATATCTATGACCTTTCTTTGTTTTTATTTTCCTTTCCTCTCTCAAGTCTTGATTGATGTAGACAGGACTGTGCATGTTTGTTTGTATAGAGGTGCCTGTGCAGCACTGGGCTTGTCGAGGCAGTTCTGAGTTCAGCCCCTCTCTGCTCTCACCCATCTTTCCTGGCTGTGCGTGGCTTCCTGCACAGAGCTGCTCCCAGCCTCAGCTTCACCACCACAGTAAGAAATTTCTTCTTGGAAATTAAGAATTTGACCTCACAGACTATTTTTCATGAGTACCCTTGTGTTGGCCAAACTGGTTGTCATTGTCTTTCTGTCCTGGACCTTCTTTCAGCCTGCAAGACCCTCCCCTTTGCCATCTTCCTCCTGTTCCTCTCCCCTCCAAACTCCACTCTTGAGTTCCCATAGGTGCCATGCTCATGGATTCTTCCTCTGTTTCTTTCAACCTACGTGGAGTGCCCTGTGTGCACATCCTCTTGCTTGAGCTCCCTAAAAGCTGGAACTGTCATTCTTTTCTCTATTCTAGAACCGGGGTGTCCACAGGAAGAGACATCCTGCTGCTTATGGTCTAGTGAGAGTGGGCAGAAAAAACTCAGTGGAGTACAAAGGATAGACAGAGACAGAGAAAACATTCCTGGCATTTGGAGATCGCTAAACACTATCCATGTTGATTTTCACAATTTTGAAGTCTTTAAATGATTTATTAAAATTACTTTTTCCTTGCTCTATACAACACCTGCCATTCTGTGGTCATGTAGGCTTGGTGTGAAGACGTAAGTCTGAATTGTCCAAGGGGCCATGGCAAGTCAAAGCCACGGCAAATACATGATTTGGGGAAACATACAAGTAAACTAGAGATCTGTGATGATGCTACTCATTAACTCGTTTATTTTATGAAGCATTTTTTTCTGTGTGGTGGGAACTTTCTGTGTGCTTTGATGGTGGGAAAACTTGAAAATTCCAATATCCTGACTTCTCTATTTGAGAGACTGGTTCAGAAGGATGTGTGTATGTGTGGTGAGAGAGAGAGATATATTTATGACATTTATTTTGAAAGAGAAATAGTTGTTATATGGCCCTGTATTAGGCCCTGACTCTTCTTTGTGCCAGGTACAGAAGCCAGTTGGTGTTCAAGTGGAAGATAACCTTGGTCGCGAGAGGGGAAGGGGAGGGTCCCTCAAGTGGAAGAGAACAAGTTGGAATAAAAGTTCTGGTGAGAGTTTCCCAGGCTGTGTCCCCATCCCCAGGTTACTCACTGGGCACAGTTCAGCAAGTAACAAACTCTTTAGTATAAGTTACAGCTTCAAACTGGCTCCCTGTCCAGAGGAGCCTACAGATAGGTTTATGGCACTAATCCTCCTGGGCTGGGAGGACTCCTCAGGGCTGAGTCCAGTGGGGTACCTAGCCCCCACCCCTTGCCCCCTGCCAGCCCTTATATAAGTGGCTCAGCTCTGGCCACTTAGCAGAATCCTCTGGTCATCCTGTGACTCTACCCCTTCACCCCAGGTAGCTCCGGCCCAGACTTTGCTGTATGACCTTGGTAAGTCTCCCTCCTCTTCACATGGGTTTCAGTGTCTTCATCTGACTTGATTAGGCCAGACTCTAGTCTAAGTATCTTGGCAGTCACAGCTGCCTATTTACATGGTAGTCAGACCAGGGAGGCATTGGCCCTGAACCCTTGTCCTTTCTGAAACCCTGTTCCCCAGCTCACACCCACAAATGAGGACTGGGGGTTGTGGGGACTATTGAGCTCTCTGGACCACAGATTGTATCCTGGGCCCCTGACAAATGACTGACTATGGGGTCATGACCCTTGGTCATCTGGCATCAGTTCATATCTGGGGAGACTGTCCCATCTGAACAAGTCATGGTCCCCTCTAGCCTCCCACACAAACTGGCACATGCCTAATGGGTACAAGCCCTACAGCCGGACATCTTTAGTGTTCTCAAGGCCAGCTGGCGTCGATTCTGTCTGTCTAGAGCCCTCGCTGCTGGCTGACAGGTCCTCTGTCCTCTTGGCATCATTTCTTCCGGACCTGCGCATGCCCAGCCGACGGTGGGCCTGGGCAGTCGGAATGGGGTCTACAGGTGGCTTGGCATCACGGGCAAAGCGCACAAGCCTCTGCCCAGCCAGGAAGTAGAGCACAGGGTCCAGACAACTGTTGGCGCTGGCCAGTGGCCGGGTGATCTTGTAAGCCATGTTGATGGCATTGAGGACATGACAGCTGAGGTCCAGTGAGCGGAAGGAGTAGTAGAGGGTGCGGGTAACATGGAAAGGCAGGAAGCAGAGGGCGAAGACAGCCAGTACCACAGCAATGGTGCGAACTGACTTGCGTTTGGCCCGCGGCAGGCCTCCTGTGGTTCCATAGGCCGGCTTCAGCAGCCTGTGAGCCATGAGCACGTAACAAACCAGGATGATGGCAAAGGGCACGGCAAAGAGCAAGCTCAGCATGATGGAGCTGTAGGCCACAAAGTGACTGAAGAGCTCGGGTGCCGAGGTGTCGTGGCAGGTGATTCGGGTGCCACGTGTGCTGGTGGTGACAAAGTAGAGCACAGGTGCCTGGCAGGCCAGCACCAGCACCCACACGGCAGCGGCCACCCGACGAGCATAGCGGGCCCGGCCCCAGCGCAGTGAGCGCAAAGGGCGCAAGACGCCCAGGCATCGGTGCACACTGATACAGGTGAGGAAGAGGATGCTGCAGTAAAGGTTGGTGTAGAAGAGGAAGCGCACCAGCTTGCAGAGTACAGTGCTGAAGGGCCAGTGGTCCCCACGGGCATAGTAGTAAACCAGCAGCGGTAGAGAGGCCGCGTATAGTGTGTCTGACACAGCCAGGTGGAACATGTATGTGGTGGAGGCGTTCCAGGTCTTGAGGCGGCACAGGAAGGCGTAGAGTGCCACGGCGTTCAGACACAGGCCGAGCACGCACACCACACCATAGGATACGGGCAACAGCACGTACTTGAAGTCCTCATTGAAGCGGCATCTATAGCCCAGTTCATCCCCATCCCAGGTACCATTGTCAGTGCCATTCCAGGGGTCCAGGCCTCCTGCCATCACCCTGCAGGGAAAGGGGGTGGGGGAGAAAGACATGGGTCATGGTCAGGGCTCAGCAGGGATCCCTGATATGCTCCCCACGCCCCCCAACGTGATGGAATTGTGAGGGTACTTAGTACCCACAGGTTTCCTTGGTTAAGTTTGCCTAACAATGTTCAGGGTCTTTGCTGCCATCTGACCTGGATCTCTTCCTGAACTCAGAATCCAAAGCCTTCAAATCATAGTTCTAGAGCCCTGGAACCTAGAGAATACATGAGGTTCATGAATATCACACTCATTCTAACTTTAGAATGTTGTTGATAAGTGCTGTCAACTCATAGCCACCCTGTATAGGCTTTCCAAGGAGCGGCTGGTGGGTTTGAATCACTGACCTTGTGGATCCCAATCTAGAGCTTTTCCTATAGTGCGATACCATTACAATCCAGGGGTCAAATCCAGCCCAGAAGTCTGTTTTTGTTGTGGGATGTGTGGATGGCAGAAGTGGAACCCTCGCTGGCTCACAGAAGCAGCAGGAGGAGCGCTGAGGATAGATTGTGAGACTGAGGACCAGTTGAGGGGCCACACTCTCACTTGGGGACAGAACTCTGGTCTGGGCATCAGTTGATCACAGAGCTTTGGGTGACATCAGGCATTTTCTGCCGTCTCAAATCTCTGACCTCTTATGGACCAAATTTCCAGTCGTGGAGAATTGCAGTCCCCCAAACTCATCCCATGTGATCCTTTTCCCACTTGAGACAGCAAGGAGGCTTCTCCCATGCCCTGGACACCTCCCCCCACCCCCACCCCCTCACCCCCTGGACAGCTCCTGTTCCTGCTGCAGGAGCTGAGATCTCTTCTCAGAGCTGAGGGAAGGCCTCATCTTCCCTAATGGTGGAATCTCTGACTCTCAGAAGATGGGTGGAGACTTCCCTAAGCCTCCTTGTGAGCGGAGGGAGCCACTCCTTCCACCTGTTTTGAGACATCCTGGCCTCCGCCCTCCCAGACCATCTGGGGACTCGATCACTGTGGCCCCTGTCCAGCCTGACCCTGCCTGACCTTCCCTCCACAAGCTCTCTCACCAAGCTGTGAATACATATTTCCTAGCTCTCCACCCCCGCTTCATGAAGATGGCCAAATCCCCAGACCCTCTTCCTCAGATCCCCCCTTTTGCCTCGCCAGCTGCTGCAGGTGGTGTTGTTAAGTATCGGTGAATCGTTCTGACTCATAGCGACCCTGTACAAGGTTTCTGAGGCTGTAAATCTTTACGGAAGCAGAAAGCCTCATCTGGCTCCCTAGGAGTGGCTGGTGGATTTCAACCACTGACCTTGTGGCTAGCAGTTCAGTGCTTACCCACAGACCCACAGCTCTCCTCTCTCCAGCAGGCAGAAAAAATCAGTGAGTTTCCTGACCCCAGATGCCACCTTGGGACCTCACTCCAGGCATCCTAGAGATGAGCTCTTCCCTAACAAGCACTCACTAACCCATCTGTGCCCAATTCTGGTTGGCTCTGCCCCAGAGGAGCTCCCAGTCTGGAGGGAAGAGGTGAGCCATTTGAATGTCCTTCCAGGCTTCCCTTCTTTTGCTCAATGTTGGTCTTTCTGCCTGGAAGGTTTTTCCAGAACCCACCCAACCTCTACTCTATTCTATTATTCCTCAAGGCCATATTCAAAATGTTACTTCACCTCTGAAGCTCTTTCCCCAACTATCACTGGGGCATTCCTCATGCCATGTTGGTAAGTTGTCCATCACCCTCCACCCCAAATACATTCCAGGTGCTCCTGGAGGGCCGGCCCATCTGATTTTCCAATCTGTCCCTATCATTCAGGAAGAGGCCTTACATAGAGTATTACATGAATGAATGAATGATACATCAAAGGCTATGGGAGCCCAGAAGAGACTGAGCTTTATGCAGGCACTTCTTCTTGTCTCTTTTCAGGACCTCCTGGAGGATAGCAGTGCTTAAAAATGTCTCAGTTGCTGACTTTGGGTGGCCAGGGGTCAGTCCAGCCCACCTGGGGTCTGCTCACACCCAGAGAGGATCTCTGCTATGTTTCTGGACAAGCCAAGGAGCCATTAGGGGAAGGGAAGTTGGACTCAGCCATTCTGGAGATGAGAGTTCTTGGTCAATTAGCCAACGCCAGTCAGAGTCTTTAATCTTGCCCATCTGTGGCCCTGATCATGTACCAATCTGGGTCAGGAGTCCCGAATCCAACTGTGCTTTGTATGGCCGAGCCTTGGCTGAGCAACCATCATGCAGCCTTTTCATTGGGTCCCCTGTCCCCTTGGTGGTTGCTGTTAGATGCCATCTATTCTATCATAGAGGTTAAGCTACTTGGTCAAGGCCACACAGCCTGGAATTGGAAATATATAGCTTACCACCCTGGGCTATCTGATTCTGAAGACTGTTCATTCCAACTTTGGAGGAGGGAACAAGGTAGAACAGAGGTTAGACTTGAGATCTGTCTTTAGGATCCTTTTGCTCAAACCCTAGTTTGGTTTATATGAAGGGGCTTCAGAAAGTTCCTGGAAAAATTCCATTATCTTTCCATTCGATTTTTTTCATGAAAAATTTTGAAGTATCCTTATATACATGCACACACACACACACACACCTAAACCCAAACACACATACAATCAGGCCCTGCTACCTACAAGCTCACCACTAGTCTGTCAGTGTGTTGTACTTTGATGGTTTGTATGTTGCTGTGATTCTGAAAGCTATGCCATGGGTATTTTAAATACCAGCAGTGTCACCTGTGGTGGACAGGTTTCAGCTGAGCTTCCAGATGAAGACAGACTAGGAAGAAGGAAAGATGGACTACTTACGAATATTTAGGCCACTGAAAACCTTATGAATAACAGTTGGACACTGTCAGCACCAGAATGTTGAGTATTGAAATATGATGAAGAGTACCAGAGCACTGTCAGATCTAGTCCTGACAGATGAGCCCCTCAGGTTGGAAGGCACTCAAAGTATGACTGGGGAAGAGCTGCCTCCTCAAAGTACAGCTGACAGTGATGGTGCAAATGGAGTAAAACCTTCGGGACCTTCATATGCTGATTAGGCATAATGCAAGATGAAGAGAAACAGCCGTAAACATCCATTAATAATCAGAACATGGAATGTGTGAAGTATGAAGCTAGGAAAATTGGAAATTGTCAAAAATGAAATGGAACACATAAATATCAATATCCTAGAAATTAGTGATCTGAAAAAAGGAGTTCTGGTAGCATAATGGTTACGAGTCTGCATGCTAACATCAAGGTCAGTGGTTTGAAACTACCAGACATTCCATGGGAGAAAAATGAGGTTTTCTGCTCCCATAAAGATTTACAGCCTTGGAAACCCTATGCAGAGTCACTATGAGTTGGAACCAACTCCACGGTACACCATCATCACCACCACCAGTAAGCTGAAATGGACTGGTATTGGCCATTTTGCATTTGACAATCACATGGTTTACTATGTAGGGAATGACAAAAAGGATAATAGGATAGGATAATATTCATAAGCCTACAAGGAAGACCAGTTAATACCGTAATTATTCAAATTTATGCACCAACCACTAAAGCCAGTGATCATGAATATGAAGAATTCTACAACTTTTTCAATGTGAAATTGATAAAATATACAAGCAAGATGTGTTGATAATTATTAGTGGTTGGAATGCAAAAGTTGGAAACAAAGAGGTCTGATCTGTGGAAAATATGGCCTTGGTGATAGAAATGATGCTGGAGATGGCATGATAGAATTTTCTAAGACCTATGATTTCTTCATTGCAAATACCTTTTTTTAAACAACATAAAAGATGATTATATACATGGACCTCACCAGATGGAACACAGGAATCAAATTGACTACATCTGTGAAAAGAGATGGTGGAAAAGCTCCTTATCATTAACAAAAAGAACAAAACAAGGCTGGGGCAGACTGTGGAACAGATTTAATTGCTCATATGCAAGTTCAGGCTAAAGCTGAAAAAAACTAAAAGGAGTCCACTAGAGCCAAAATATGACCTTGAACACATCCCACCTGAATTTAGAGATCATCTCAAGAACAGATTTAATGCATTAGGCACTAATGAAGGAAGACTATAAGACATGTGGGATGACATCAAGAACATCATACAGGAAGAAAGGAAAAAGTCATTAAGAAGAAAGAAGGAAAGCCAAAACGGATGTCAGAAGAGATTCTGAAACTTGCTCTCCAGCATACAGATGCTAAAGCAAATGGAAAAAATGAGGTAAAAGAACAACTTGAGAAGACAAGGTCAAACACTATAACAAAACATGCAAAGACCTGAAGTTAGAAAACCAAAGGGGAAGAACACACTCAGCATTGCTCAAGCTGAGGGAGCTGAATAAAAAAATGTAAGCCTCAACTTGAAATACTGAAGGATTCTACCGGCAAAATATTGAATGGCACAGAAAGCACCAAAAGAAAATAGAAGGAATATACAGAGTCACTGTGCCAAAAGAAATGGTCAATATTCAACCAATTTAAGAGGTAGCATACAATTAAGAGCCAATGATACTACTGAAGGGAGAAGTCCAAGGTGCACTGAAGCCATTGGCAAAGAACAAGGCACCAGGAATTGATGGAATACAAATTGAAATCTTTCAACAAACTGATGCAATACTGAAGGCATTCACTAGTCTATGCCAAGAAATTTTGAAGATAACTACATTGGCTGACTGACTAGACAAGATTCATTCCAAAGAGAGGTGACCCAAGGGAATGCGGAAATCATCAGACAATATCATTAATATTGCATGCAAGTAAATTTTTGCTAAAGATAATATAAAAACGGCTGCAACCATACATTGACAGAAAACTTCCAGAGGTTCAAGCCAGATTCAGAAGAGGATATGGAATGAGGAATTGCTGACATCAAATGGATCTTGGCTGCAAGCAGAGAACACCAAAGAGATGTTTACCTGTGCTTTACTGATTACGCAAGGCTTTTGATTGTGTGACCCATGACAAACCATGGACAATGTTGTGGAGATTGAGTATTCTC